TGCGGCTCGGAATGCCCTTCGCCATCACGTGGCGTCGAATGGCGCGGTGAAGCGTGCTCCGAAGTCGAATGTGCTTGCCACACAACTCTGGAAGCTCGAAATTGGTACGAGACCCAACAACACATGTTGTCCAAAAGAGACAGCGGCCGCTGTTGGACAGGCGGCCTTCTGTCCCAAATTGACAACGTCCGCGGCGATATCGACAGCGAGTTCTGCCCAATATGCGCAAGAAATGCCTGCGACCTTGCCCAACGACGGCTCGTGCCGTGTCGCGCGGTGTACTTTGGCACAGTGCAATGCGCCGCGGGCAGTCCTCAGGTCGCAGCTGGACTGCGCGGCGCCGTATGGTGCTGTGTGAGCGGTGCCGCAAAAGGCTCCCCAATCAAGAAACGCTCTACAGGGCCCTGCCGTCACAAAATTAAACAGACAACCAAAATCTGGCCGACCAGGCAACGGGGATGCTCATCTATCAGACGTTGGGTGCAGTCGCGCCGCGCAGAGCGGTGCTAATGGGCGTGAGACGGCACCGTGGCTCGTGCCATCAAAATCACGCCATGTAGTGCCGGGTGGTGCAGTGTTGGTTGCAGTGAAGACTGCGGTGGTGGTGTGCTGGCTTGCGTGTTTGCCTGGAGCCGTACGACGCTGGGCTGTGTGGAAGTCGTCCCGGGCTGCCACGGGGTTCGTGGACCCCAAATGTGTACGAAGCCCGAAGGGGTGCTTGCCCGCCAATGGTCTCGGCGCGCCCTAGCGAGCCATGCTGGGTCGTCGGGTGCCGTGTGGGTTGCCACCTGGTTAGGCTTGGCTGCCTGCTTCAATGCCGTTGCGCGGTGCGGGCTGCCACTGAACCTGAATTTGCCACCCGGTGGCACGCCATGTCGTTCCGTGTGGTGCCACGCGGGATGCCGCCAAGAGCTTGATTAAACAACGTTATCCGAAATTCCCCGAGCAACGAACATCGATTGAACCTTCATGGTGTTGTACATCACCGAAACAATATGCGCGACATGGGAGAAAAACATAATGCCTCAGAACGCACATGCCCTGAAATGCCATGTGTGTAGGGCCGTGCCAAGATTGCTAAAGACTGCTGCCATGAACTGCTACTTTTGAGGTGCCACGCGTGGGGCCACGTAGTACCGAACCGTGAACGGGTGGGTCCCATGCAAAATACCGTGAAGCTCGATTTCCTGAAGTCGCCGCGGAAAAAACAGTTGGCAACCGAGTGCGAGGCGGCATTAAACAAAGCCGTCTTTTGTGGCGTTCGCTGCCGTGGTACGCCGTTCCGTGATGCGCCGTGCGGCGCAGTGCTGCCTCTGACCCGCGCGCACCGACTCGTTTTTTCTCCAACGTCGAAGTGGTGGCACCGTCACGAGTACTAAGGCGGGGGCACGCTTAGTTCAATTCCACCTGGCGTTGCAAGCTGGTAGGCCGCGCAGGACTCACGCACACACAACTCAGTACACACATACAGGCACAACATCATGCGCGCGTGCACAGGCACAACACATGCCCCATGCTGGGGCACATCCGGGGTCGATCAAGGAACTGTTGTTGGAAAAAGTCGTCTGTATTCCATGTAAGGACATGCGTGTGCTTCTTAGGGATGAGGGGCTACCTCGCATTCTAGGGGCCCCGGGAGGTCATGTGATTCAAAAGCGCCCCTTGGCCTACCAAACATCCCTACCATTCTTGGGGTGCGTCCAGCACGCTCTGATACGATCCCTGGGGCGCGTCCTGCAGACCTCTTGGGCGCCTCGGTGGCCTTCCTCGGAGTGCTCGAGGCGGGCCCTTAAGACCCCCAACTTGTCCCTTTCATTTGGTTTTGACCCGGCTTCGGGGCGCCGCCGCCGCCGTCTGGCACCTGAGAGATCCCATAGGGCTACCCCGCCTGAAGAATTCCGTACGAGTTTAACCCAGACATCCGATGTCTCGATTTTTTCGAGACGCGGGCCCCCGACCTCCCGACCACTTCCCCGGGACCGGTTTTTCATCCCGAGTCGTTTTTTGACGGTCCCGAGGCCCGGCGAGGGCCCCGAGAGGCCGAAAACGACGAACAGCCTCCGTCTCGATTTTTTCGAGACGCCTGATGTCTGGGAAGAGGGTGTCCTCCAGCAGTGGAGATGGTCATCGTCCCGTCCGCTGTCCAAGTGCAGCAACACCACTCGAATCTCCAGCACCCCCCGCGGGCGCACTGCTGCAGGGCACGCTACACGGCGATGCCCGACGTCCTTCCTGGGGGAATGCTCCGCGTGGCGCTTCGTCAGATGCTTGGCGTCCGTGAGCGCTGGCCCTGTCCATCCGAGCACCTGAACGGCGTTTCCTTCGGCGCCCTGGCCTCTGCTCGCGCATTGGGGCCAAGACGCTCCACGACCCTGGAAGAAAGGCACCTCGGTCGGCGTGCTCCGATCCATCGGACACAGCATGCCTGAGGTCTGGCAGTGGTTTCGAATATGCCCGCAGAGCTTGCGACGTCGAAAGTAGACAGCGAAGACAGGCAGCAAGAAGGGATGGGTATGCGCTGTTCCACTGGGGCATAAGAAAAGCCTGGGCATGGCCACGAGAGCAATTTGACCACGCCCTGCCCCTGTGCATCTTCATGCTACCGTGGTGCGCCATAGGGGAAATTCGCATGTCGGAATCCACCTCGAACACCTGCTTTATCTCCTCCTCCTTCTTTTCCTCCTCCTCTTCCTCCTCCGCCTACACCTACTCGTCCCCCCCTTCTCCTCCTCCTCCTCCTCCTCCTCCTCCTCCTCCTATTCCTCCTCCTCATAATGCTCCTCCTCTCTGGTCCACCCGCCGCTCCTCCTTCCCGTGTTGCTTCTCCCTCACGCCTCCGCCACCTCTTCCCATTGCATCATATCGTTCCTCCTCCTCCTCCTCCTCCTCCTCCTCCTCCTCCTCCTCCTCCTCCTCCCCAAGACATCGCCCCTCCCCCCGCCCGCCCGCCCGCGCTCGCTGAGGGCAGACAAGGAGGAGGGAGAAGGGGAGGGGGGTGGAATAAGGAGCGGGGGAGGAGGAAGGACAATGGAAGGAGAAGGAGAAGGGAGAAGGGGAGGGGAGGGAGGGGGAGATGAAGGAAGGAGAGAGAAGGGGAGGAGGGAGGGACAAGACGATGTATGAGAAACAGACATGTGCACAACTATGCGGTGTTTGATTGCGAGGGCGACGGCGTAGAAACAGAAGAAATAACATCAGCATATCCATTCACGTCTACATCACTTTCGTGTCGTAGTGCGAAACTGCTTCTCATCACAGGGGAGGAATAAGGAAAGGGGGCAGAAACATAGGAAGAGGAGGAAGGGGCAGAGGAGGAGGAGGTGAATGTGGAGGCGGAAGAAGAGATCGACGACGACGAGGAGCGGAAAGTATGAGGAACGAGGATGAGCGATGAGGAGGAGGAGGATGAATAAGGCGGAGGACTCGAGGACTCGAGGCTGGGCGACACAGGTGCGGCGCGGCCGCTGCAGGCCAGAGGAACATGGGGGGAGGTGGGAGGAGGAGGAAAGAGGGGGAGGATGGCGTGGGCTCTCGCACAGTGTCAGACGGGGAATTTTTCTCGCAGGGTTTGTGGCGAGCCGCCGCCGCCCGCGCCTCCGCCACCAACCCGACCCACTCTCCTCGCGCTCGGGGGCTGCGGGGAGGGAGGGCTATGATGGAGAGCTGAAGGCCTCTGCTGACTCGCCGCCGACAACGTCGTGCCGTGCCGGGGGGGGTGCACGACCGACCGCTCGCGACCGCGTTTTCTGACAGAGCCCCACGCCCCTGAGCGCACCACCGCTGATTGCATCAACCGGTAGCACAGGGAATTCTTGCTGGATGGACGGGGCTGTGCCTCATCATGCTGAGGGGGTTGCCGACACACCACTCGCTGAAGCCTTTGGCGGGGAGGCTCTTTGGGCTGTGGAGTCGGGGTCCACGCCCAGCGCGCTGTCGCAGCTGTGAAGGGCCGCCTTTCCCTGGCGAGGCGGCTGGGGGCGTCCTATGGAAGCCGCGCGGGGTTTTGTCGGCCTTGCCCTGACGGCTCACTCATTCGTGAACTCGCTGCCTGCCTTTTGTCTCTATTATTTTGCCACGGGCTCAACTTGTGAAGCGCTGGGATGACGGATCAACGCCACGTATCCATTGGATGGGGGTCACCGCTCGAACAGGAGCCTCCTCTCGGTCCGACAGCCCGCACCCATACCCATAGCAAATCCTCCTTTCTCAGATCCCACTACGGGTATGGGTGTGTGTGTTGTCCGTTCGTGATAGGGAGCGAGCGAGGGGAAGGAAGAGCTCTCGCAACTGTCGGACCAAACGCAAACACCACTGGTGAACCTGCTGACTCGGTCTCGCGTTGCCAGCGCTCCCCACGCGCCAAGGCCGTGAGGACCCGGCCATGCCCTTCGCATGCCGAGAGGGCGGCGCCACGACCTCGGCTCGGCTCAGTCCGGCACCGTTGTCAGGCAGCAGAGGGGTCAGGGTAAGAGGAAGGAAGAGGAGTGGGAGGAGTGGGAGGAGTGGGAGGAGGAGGTGGATGAGCAGAGGGAGCAGGAGGGGGAGGATAGGGCTTGGATGAGGGGCGAAGAGGAGGATGAGCAGGAGCCAAGAAGAGGATGGACCATTATGCTCGGCTCGCCACCCCGTTCCCCGTCCCAGACCTCCGGCGTCGCGTTTTCTGTTATTACGACGTGGGCCGCTGGAGGTCTCGATTCCTTCCCCGGGGCTGGCTTCTTCACTTGCAAGTGCTTGGGTTCCGGGAGTGACCAAAACACCATCCGTCGTTTTCCTGTTCCCGACGCAGCGGAGTCTGGGATGGCGACAGCCCTTCCTGCACCCGCCAGCCTAGCTCTCCGAGGTGGCGTCGGAGAGACCCCCTTGAGCCGAGCAAGCGCCTGCGAGAGAGCGGCGCGGGAGCGCGAGTGAAGGGCACCGCGGCCCCTGTGCCGAACAGAAGAGGAAGAGGAGGGGGGAGGGCGGCGGATCAGAGAGAGGAGAGAGGGAGGATCGGTTGCGACGGCGCAGGAGGGCGTCAAGCCGACGCTGGCCGCAACGCGAGGGAAGCGAGTTTACGCGTCGGCCCTCCCACTCGGCCCGCGCGATACTGTTTCCCAAGCCATCCCGGCGGAGTGGACAGGAAGGCGGGTTGGGGTTGGAAGAGCCTGCCGCACTTCAGGGAGCAGGGAGGACAGGCATCTGGGCTTGAGGATACTTCTTGTGGACCCCGCAAGAGGGGCTGAGGAGGGTAAAGGCTACAAGGGAGATTAAAGCATTAGGCTCTGCCAGGTTTGGGTGGTTCTAAATGACTTCCTCCCCTCGGTCTGGTCGGAGAGGTGGAGAGGGGGATGGGCAAAACTGAAGCAGGGGGGCAAGAATGTGTTTGAAAGTCTTGGCCAGCTCCTCCCGGGATGGCTTCTGGCGCATCTGGGAGAGGGGGGGCTCTAGGTGGACCTTTGAATGCCATCGTGAGGAGGAGGATGAGCCTCGTAAGGGAGGAAGAGGGCAGGAGGAACGAAGAAAAGGGATGATGAGGAGGAGGATAAGGAAAGCAGTCTGAGGGAGTTGCTTCCAACTGGCTAACATGGCTTGTGCCTTCCATGCGAATGTTTAACAAGCTTGATGCAAGCAATACTGTTCCAGCAAGCTCGGACATCGTGAGGTTACGTGTTTGGTCTGCTCATGCCCTGTAAACCAAAATACATGCCACCATGAACAACTGATGTTCCAGGAAGGAGGATGGCTGCGCTCACTAGGCATCAACCGCGGAGGCAACTCCACAAGTTCCGAAACCTGGGGCGGATGGCGAAGACAGATGGGTCCCAAACGCAATGTCAACAGCATCACTGCACTATCAACCCTACCAGAGAAAACTAAGTCAGTGGCTTCCCCGAGAAAGGGCAGCAAGTATTATGCTTGCCCGTGGGGGCTGCAGGCCATGAGATACTCTATGCTCTCGCCCATCCTCGTCGTTGGCGTTCTCCTCCTCTCCATTCCTCCGCATTCCCCTGATCATTCTACTCCTCATGCTCATGCTGCTCCTGGTCCTCCTCTCCTCCTCCTCCTCCTCCTCCTCCTCCTCCTCATCCTCCTCCTCCTCCTCCCCGTCCTCTCCTTCTCCTCCTCCTTCATCCTGCCCCCTCCTGCTCTTCTTGTGTTCCTCCTTCCAGTAACTCTTCCGGCTCCTCATCCGACAGTCTTCCAATGCCGAATTGACAAGACATGATGTGTCAGATCGTGCAGCTGACACGACGATCTTCAAGGACATCCTTGCCAATGGACAGAATCGGGTTCAACACAACTAGAAGGGATGTGCCGGAGGGGTCGGATGACAGATGTGGCGCTAGCGCGCTTAGCGTAACCCGTTTTTCCTCTGTTGTACACTCTCAACTTCCTGCACCTTGCTCGCTCCCTCTCTCTCTCTCTCGCACTCTCTCTCTTTATACGTCCTTAGTCCTCTCGTTCGCTCTCTCTCTCTCTCTCTCTCTTTCTATCTCCCTCTCTCTCTTTCTCTCTCTCTCTCTCTTTCTCTCTCCCTAATGCCCCACTCTCTAAGCACACCAATGCTGTCTGTGTATTCTGTTACGTTTGCACATCTGAGTACATACATATATAACGACTCGTGCCTATCACTCCCCTTCTCTTTCTCTCTCTCTCTCTGTGCGTCTCGTTACGTTATTCTCTCTCATTCTCTCGCGCGCGCTTGCACTTTCCCTTTCTCTCGCTCTGCATACCATCGCGCGCGCTCTCGTTCTAGCGCAGGGTGGGGGGTCGCCAGCAAAAGTTGTTCAAGTTGTTCAATACTACCATACACAAGCGAGTGCCGTAGGCGTACCCGTCCTCTCTGCCACCTCCAGGCCAGGCCCACTCCCGCGATATGGCATCTCACTCTTCCCGCGCAGCGGTGGATTGCCCAAGAAGGGCGAGGGGCGGGCGCCCTGGGTAACGGTAGCGCTTGGGCGGGGCGGGGCACGTCGGGACGGGGATGCGCTGCGCTCGCCGTAATTTGCGCACGTGTTGCCCCCCCCACACACACAAACAAACAAACAACAAGCATGTAAGATCGCTAACGTTATCCAGAGGGGGGGGGAAAGGTGGGCCTAAGGTAACCACTGTTACGCGCCAGGGTGACAGTTTCCGTCCACATGTTCAGTTTGATTCTCATCGCCGTCACCATAACCATCACCAGAATCATCATGAGCATCGCCACCACCACCATCATCATCATCATCATCATCATCATCATCATCATCATCACCATCATCATCATCATCATCATCACCATCATCATCATCATGATAATCATCCTGATGATAATCATCGTGATGATGATCATCATCATCTTCGTTCTCATCATTATCATCATCATCATCATCAGCATCATCATCATAATCATCATCATCATCATCATCATCATCATCATCATCATCATGGTCATCATCATCGTCATCATCATCGTCGTCACCAATCATTGTCATCCCCATCATCATTAGCAGCATCATCATCATCATCAGCATCATCATCATAATCATCATCATCATCATCATCATCATCATCATCATCATCATCATCATCATCATCATGGTCATCATCATCGTCATCATCATCGTCGTCACCAATCATTGTCATCCCCATCATCATTAGCAGCATCCACATCACCGCTACGCACATCGTGCACGTTATCGTTGCCATCGCGTCACCGGTCATCATCCTCGTCGACGCTCGAGTGAGCATCAATGTCGTCATCGTCGCCGTCGGCCAGATGTTCCCGGAGTGGCCTCTGGGAACGTCCGTCCGACTGTGCGCCTCGGGAAGTCTCTTGTAGCTGTTTTGCGATTGGGGGGCGGGCTCCTGGAATATTTTGAAGCTTCTCTCGGGCCCTCTTCTGTCGTTTCGGGGGCCCCTGAGGCCATCTGAAGGGATCTGGAGACCTGAGAGCTCGGCCCATCGAGGGCGAAAAGGCGAGTTCTCCAGCGTCCTCTTGGACATTTCGAAGCCCCTTGGGGGCATCTTGGAAGCCTCTTGGTGCCCAAATGGGGCATCGAGGCGGCGCTCTTAGCCCGTCTGACCCCCTCGGAAGCTGTCGGGCCAGACTCTTCGAGATCGTTTAGGTCCTCCTGGGAGGCTTCATTCCTGCTCCTCGCTGCTCCACGTGGCCTTCCCCGATGGCTTGCATGCGCTAGAGTGTGTGTCTTGGTCTTGATATGTAATGGGTTTCCAGGGTGGGTGGGATGTGAGCACCACGCCAGTGTGTGACACGTCCAGTATGCTGACATCTTCGCGCTCCGGCCTGGTGGCCTCTAGAGCTCCTCTTGGGGCTCTCGCGGACACACTGGGGACCCTCTGGCGGCCTCGGCGGCGGTCGCGCGATCGAGAAAGAGAAGGAATCAGACACTCACAAGCATCATCACAGTCATGGTGATGATCGTCACCACCCTCGTCACCGTCACCCATTACCGCCTTAATCATCGTCATGGACATCATGGGTCGCATCACCTTCATCAGTAGCATCAGCATCACTACCACAGCCACCACCACCATCATCAGCAACGCCATCCTCGGACTCATGGTCGTCGTCGCCGCCGTCGGCGTCGCCCAGATGTGCCCGGAGAGGCTCCCGAAGGCTAAGCAGCCTCGAACCTGGCCTCGAGGCTAGGCAGCCCCGAACCTGGCCAAGCAGCCTCGAACCTGGCCTCGGAGAGGCTCCCGAAGGCCAAGCAGTCTTGGAGGTCCCCTCCGCCGAGGTAGCGCCGACGCCGGGGCAGCCTCGTCCTTCGGCCCCCAATCGTCCTCCTCCCCCCATCCTGCTCCTGGAGGCCCTGCCTGGTTGCCACGACGAGTTCTACTCTTGGGCGACGACGGCCAGGTGCAAGTGCATGCATTGGAGTCTGAAAAAACGCGATTCCGAACAGAACGTTGTGAACAATAACAATGATAATCATCATCAGCAGCAGCGTCAGCATCACCATCATCATCGTCGTCATCATCATCAGTATCAGCATCATCGTCATCATCATCATCATCATCATCATCATCATCATCATTATCATCATCATCATCATCATCATCATCATCATCATCATCATCATCATCATCATCATCATCATCATCAGCATCTTCATCATCATCATCAGTATCATCGTCACCACCATCAGCATCCTAATCAGTATCATCATCCTTATCACCATCATGCGCATCATCATCCTCAACCATCATCATCATCAGCATCGTCATCATCATAATCATCATCAGTACCATCATCCTCATCCTCATCCTCAACCTCGGCCGCATCCTCATCATCAACATCAGCATCATCATCAACAGCATTGTCATGATTATCATCGTTATCATCATCAGCATCATCCTCACCACCACCATCATCGCCATCATCATCACCACCATCATCGCCATCATCCTCATAACCATCATCATCATCATCATCACCAGCATCACCCTCATCATCAGCATCCTCATCGTCATCATCGTTTTCACGAGCGTCATCGCCACCACTATACTCATCATCACCATCATCATCATCATCATCATCGTCGTCGTCGCCCTCCTCCTCATCAGTGAGCACCGTCGTCCTCATCATCATTATCAGCATCATCATTACCATCAACATCAACATCATCCTCATCACCATCATCATAGACATCATCATCACCATCATCCGTACTACCACCATCATCATCATGAACATCACCATCGTAATCACGAGCGCCATCCCCACCATCGTACTCATCATCATCATCATCACCATCACCATCACCATCATCATCATCATCATCATCATCATCATCATCATCATCATCATCATCATCATCATCTTCATCATCATCATCATCATCACATCATCAGCATCACAATCAGAATCATCATCATCATCATCATCATCATCATCATCATCGTCGTCTTCGTCGTTGCCGTCGCCATCTGCATGATCGTCGTCGCAATTGCCGTCGCACGGATGTTCCCGGAGAGGCTTCCAAGAACATCTGGCCGACTGCGCGCCTTCGGG